GTGACCTTCTGTACTATAACTTTTCCTCCCATAAGATGAAATCACGCACATATCACTTGTCAATCAACACCTCTGTTAAGCCTGGCTTTCTATCATTTGAAAGTACATTTTTTTTAAGCACAGAAAGTAAGTAATGTTTGTTTCAAAATACATTAAATAAACTTTATAATTTCTAATATTCTTAAATTAATTTTTAAAAAAAATCATAATTGATTTTGTAAACAAATTTTAAACGGAAACTTTCACTTTTGTAAACAAAAGTAAAAAAAATGGCTGACGATCGATTTTCTGTCAATTTTGCTGATGAAAAAAAATACAAGATTTTTAACGAAAATTTTGGAAGTGCTAGAAATTATTAAAAAATGTAAAAAAATAATCAAAAAATACTTTGATCTTTCCTCTTGATAATAACAAACATTTAGACAATAAATTATTTTCATCAAGTTTAAGGCTGTTATTATACTGCTATGCTCATTTTCCAGCAATCTCACGTTGGTAACTAATATATATATATATATATATATATATATATATATATATATTTAAACACACACACACAGAGCTGGTATTGAAAATTTCTTGAGCCAATCCACTTCCCAAAATTTTATCAAATCCAAATGATCACAATTTCTTTTAGAATCATATCAAATGAACAACAACTGTGAGGGTGGTTCCACTCCACCTTTGCTTTCTCTATCTAGACTATCAAAAGTAGAAACAGAATTTGTCAATGAAAAAAATTAAAATGTATCTGTGCTCATTTCATATTGAATATCTTTGAAAGGAGATGTGACAATTTAACTGCCAGAATGATTGTAGTGTATCACTTGAGTAATTATTCAGGCAGGCATTTGTAACTAAGCTAATTTCTAAACTCTGTTTTTTTTGAGATGCAGTTGAGTCTTTTGTTGCAACCAAGCAATAGAGGAAGTTGTACATGTTCATGCTATACTGTTGGTAGAAAATGAGTGAATGGAATCTAGAGCTTTGGATTAACATCAGATTTTGGGTAAAAAATGGTAAAGGTGTGAGTGAAATGTTAAAAATGGCTATGGTGAACATGTTATAGAGAAACAGAGTATTTTGAATGGCATAGGTATTTCTAGAAAGACCAAGATGTGCATGAAGAAGTGGACAGCTAAAAACAAAGAAGAGATGCAAATGTAGACAGAGTGTGAACCTTGATGTTCTCAAATCAAAGGTGAAGTGTGCAATTGATGGAAGAAGTGAATAGGGAAACAGTGAAGCCTATTCTAACAGAATATTTGAAAATGCGAAAAATGTCTTCAAAGATGAGTCTTTAAATCTTGACTGATGAATAGAAAAAAAAATTTCTCATTTCATCAGAGATGTTTGACAGGTTCATTACCACTGATGAAATGCAGTGTTTTCAATACAACCTGAAAACAGAATACCAGAGTGTGCCATGGAAAACAATTCACCTCAGCTAAAAACAAATATACACGGCTCACTGTAATTGAAGACAATGTTGTGTTTCTTTGATTATAATAGAGATTATTTGAAACAACTTCTTACAAGGACAAAATTTCAATCAAGAATATTTATTTGAAAGTGCTAAAAGGGTTACAAGAATCATTTTGGAGGAAAAGACCTGAACTTTGGCTTAACAAGTGTATTCTTTACCAAGAAAATGCCCCTTTAAGAATTCATGGCTTAGCTATCCATTTTATTCAATAGACTGATTTTTGGGGTTATTCTCAAAATGGAAAAATGTCCTGAAGGGACAAATATTTGAAGACATCTGATATCTAGCAATATGTGACTATATTACTGAAAGATATTCTGAAAAACAAATTCCAAGAATGCTTTCAGTAATGGCACCATCATTTTACAAGAGGAGTACTTTGAAGGTGACAAAAGCCAATAGTGAGCCTGTAAGTAAACTTCACTTTAACAGGGACATTTGGGAAATTAAATTGTCACACCTCATGTAATGCATGTATACACACACAATTGCACATTAACACCTACGTCAATAAAATTTTCAGGATATATTTATATTCAGATGATAAATATGCCATAAGATTTTTATGGCTTCCATTTCTATTAGAATTATTTAAAATAAGATTCTTTTGAGGCATGAAATTTTATAAAATTTGAAGGTTGTTAATCATATTTTAAATTATATTGAAGCCTGGTATTAAACAACCAATGTTGATAAAATCTTCATGTTTTCTTTACATGAGCAATATATCTTGAGTTTTTCATCTAATAATATCTTTCTTCACATAAATACTGATAACTTGCATTGGGGATATCAGATTTTATTATGCAATCAAACTTCAATATAAATTTTAATTAACTCAATCCAAAACCAGCAAACCCACAAACATATATCTGATTGATACAATACTCTATATAAATGATTAAATTTTTATCATACATGTTAATATGGGATCCTTGACATTCTATAACTTTCAGGCCTTGATTTTGTAAACTTTTCTGCTATTTTGACTTTAACATATTTATTTATTTATTTATTTTTTTTTTTACTTCATAGAAATCTTACTCAAATTTAATATATATATATATATATATATATATATATGAATGAGAGAAAGACAAACATACACATTTCAATTTCTTGTTAGGTTGGAAAGAATTCAATAAAAATGGAGACATAATGAAAAGCATCTTATGAATATGTTTAAAATATAAAGTGTATAATTAATGTATAATGCTAGCTATGACACACAGATAAAAAAAAACATGGAAATTCACAAAATTGCTTGAAGAACTCAGAAACACACAAAATTTAATGAAAAATTTAATGTGTGGAATAACTCTGAGATCAAAAGAGGTTAACATGTATTATAGAATAGACCAATAAAAGAGATATGATAGAATTGACTGAATGACAAAAATAGAAGTGGACAAGAAGCATAACAAGAAAAAGTACCTTTTGCCCCATCTACCTTTTCTTGTTATGCAAGGTGGAGAGCTAATGTGATCATGCAACAAATATCAAATCAACTCACCTTCCAGATTTAGAATTATATGATTTTGAAAGTAATGTATTAAAAACAGAGAACACATGTCTATGACACAAAGAAGCAAATAAAATTTTTATCTGGGAGAGAGGTAATGTTATCAAAATACAACAAAGTCATTACAAAATCCATGATCCTTTTTTATATGCTGACCAAATCAGAACAAGTGATATTTATAAATTTCTAACTAATAGTTAGATTCATGTAGAATTTTTGAAAAGAAAAGAAAAAAAAACAAATGCAAGTCATATATTAATTTTCAAATTTTAACTGATATTGCCATGAACACAGATTTTATCACACTCAACTGATTTAACTTTGGATTGCTAAAATCAATATAAACTCTATTAATAACAAAGAAATGAAGTTCATTAAACTTGGTATCAAATATTAAGCTCTTACTCTTTGACAAATGAAAGATTTTTAGTATTAATAATAGCAAACAAATGGATATTGCATATGTAATACATTCAAATGTAATACACATGCATTTGAGAGATGAAAACCAACACTATACCTAAGTGATTCACCTCATTAATTCCTGTGTGAGAATGTCATAAGTATTAACGAAAATGCAAAGAAACATTGTTCTCTAATACAAATTAGACTGGCTATTTTTCTATAAATAAAGACATTTTACAAATAAAAACTCATATTTCAATATAAGCTTTCCCTTTTTAAACTTGTAGCCATAATGTTGTTAAAAAAAAAAGTATTTTGTGATATCTTGACTGTTATAGAATAGAAATTAAATATCAGATGATTGATTCTTGAGATCTAATTATTTATACAATAATAATTTCATTAACAAGACAATTTCTAGGTTTCAGATTTTAATAAAAAGGCACATGTGGTTCATATTCAAGCAAAATGCATACAAAACTAAGCCATTTTAAAGTTGTTTAATACAAAATTAATTTGCTTTTAATATTGTCAGTAAAAATGAAAAATGGTGTCAAAAGCAGGAATATATATATATATATATATATATATATATATATATATATATATATGCAGCATATCTTCATTCAAGCAGGTTTGGTTGAATAAACTAGGTATATTATGTCTATTTTTACTTTAATCCTCTCATATTCACGGATCAATCAGTTGTTATTAAACTGATTAAGAAAGATGCTGTAGTTTTGGTTATTTCTTTTATTTTCCCAAGTACTCTCAATCTTATCCAAGATCATTTTCAGGGGTGAATTGCTAAGACATAAATTAATTTTTAAATTGACTATAGTGGAGCACATTTCATGCACATTTAAAAAACAAAATTTCACAACTATTAATTTTTGTTCTAGAAATTCACCCCTAAAGATGATCTTGGATGTGACTGAGAGTACTTGGGAAAATAAAAATAACCAAAACTATGGCATCTTTCTTAATCAGTTTAATAATAACACTAAGAAATTGATCTAGGAATTTGAGAGGATTAAAATAAAACAGACATATGTTTAGATTATTCAACCAAACACACATACACACACACATATATATATATATATATATATATATATATATATATATATATATATATATATATATATATATATATATATATATATAAACCCAATCACTTACTCAAGCTAAGTTCTTTCACTTCACAAAAGTAAAATGAGAACCCACACACAGACAAGGAGAAAAAGAATAAGACCAAAAATAATTTTCAAGAAAAATAAAATGTTTTCTTCTGTTATCATTACACACAATTGCAATATGCAGTCACTTTTTTCCCAACAAGAATAGAGTTTTCATTTCAATACAATTGTTATTTTTTTTCTCCATGAATTAAAAGAAATCCACTGGAAGATATTTTAACTTTTTAAAAGTTTATTATGCCCCTTTTCTTTTCAGTTAACACGAATAATCACCCCTAAGGAAATAGGGCAGAGGGTAATTTTGCAACAGTATTAAGCGAGATGAATTAAGGAGGGATTTTTTTTTTTTAAATCACCAACAATTGTTGCCATATTCTAAACAAGTACGTTATTCTCCCCAATCACCTCGTCGATTGGGCATGCGAAGTAGTACCTCTCGTCGTCGTTCATAATATTCAGGTGGAGGTCGGATGTAAGGGTCTAGGTCATGATGGCTGCTGCTGTTGTTGTTGTTGTGACTGTTGTTGTTATGGTTATATTGAGACAAAGGTGATAGGGATGAGAGCAGAGAAGGTATCATGGACTCGGAGGTCCCTGTCAGTGGCGGTAGAGGCGCCCGTCTTTCGTAGGCACTCGGGTAAGGTCTGTAGCGTGTAGGAGGTGGCGGAGGCGGCGGATAACTGTCATAGTAGGGGTCATTCTGGGAATGTTCTCTGTCCAGATCTCTGCTTAAATCGATATAGGTATTATTATTGTTGTTGTTTCGGCGACCACTATTACTGCTACCGCTGTTGTGATAGTGGCTACTACTATTATTACTGCTGTAGGCATTGCTGTTTCGTTCATAATACAATGATGATGATGATGATGATGACAATGGTTCCCGGTAAGAATCTCTGAAAGAGTCATTTCGATAACCATTGGGACCACCGAGGAGACTACTTTGCAAAAAGCTTCCACTGCTGCCAGAGCTTCCACCATTCATATAAGGGCCTCGGTTTCCGCGCAAAAACTGGCCTCTGTTTTCAGATTTATTGCTATGATCATTATTATTATTATTATTATTATTCAATGAAGGGTTTCGACTCCGTCCCCTTGGACAATCCTTCGACCAGTGTCCGGATTTGCCACACCTGTAACAAACACTCTTATTACCCATACCGGGTTTGTGGCGCACCTGGCTATATGACAGTTCTACCTTTAATGTTACTCCGTCCCATTTTGTGTCGTTAAGCGCGTCGACCGCCGATTTAGCATCCTCACCATCAGCAAAATGCACAAAACCATAATTTTTTACGATGTCACACTCGACTACTTTGCCATGTTTTTCGAATAGAGAGCGAAAAGCTTCCAAATTGCAATTTTCAGGCAAATTGCCTACATACACCTTGGTTTGAAAATTCATTTTTTCTTTAATAAAATTATATTATTGTTTTTAGGAGTAGCAGTAATTAAAACAAATATCACTACTCATTAAAAAAAAAAAAAAAAATCAAAACAAAAAAAAAAACAAAAAACTTGTATACTCGACTAAAAAACAGTCTTTCTCTGATCAAATACACGATTTTTATTACTAAGAAAACAGTAATTATAATAATTAGTAATTATTATTACTAACTCATAAAAAGCCCAAATCAATTGGATATTATGATTGATTCAGATAGACAAGACGGATGTCGTAGCAGAAGCCAAGGTCTTTTACAGTCATTTCAACCCACTTGAATAGAGATTGAGATGCGTAATTGCGAAATGAGACGTTTATTATACGAAATTTGGAAATAGTAACAGGTAAAAATCATTAATGGTAATTAGTGTTGTAATAAGGAAATTCGTTTTTCTTTTTCCACCCCAATATTTTTTCTCGTCAATTTCTAATAATTTCATTTATAGCTTTTGTTTCGCGTAGGGTTTTTTTTATTATTTTTTTTTTAATTTTCTGATTGCAGTGCGGATGAGGTTTTCATAATTTGTCGTCGTAAAAACCGAATCGAAACTGTTGCAAATCTGTAAAAGAAAAACAGTCTTAAACAGGCTGGACTCTAAAAAGAAGAAACAAATTTTAAAAAATGAATTTTAGTTAGACCGATTCATAGTGTTTTTTTTTTTTCATTGGTTTCTCTTTTCTTTTTTAAATTTTGAAACTGATAAAACGAAAAGTCTCATCTCGCGGATCAAAATATTTTAAGTCTTCTAATTCCAAGTTTGCATAAATCAAGTTTTAAAAGAAATATAAAAAAGAAAACACGCAGTTTTAAAAGCAGAATTTGAAAATAAACTAGAGAACTTTCCAAAGGTAATTTTATACAGTATTTGTTGTTGTTTTTTTTTTTTAGCCTTTTTAAAAGATTAATTTAATGTGAGCAAACTATTTTTTTTAATCCGGGAGTTATTTATTTCAGATTTTTCAATATTAGAAAATAAATATTTCAACAAAGTGAATTAAGATTTAAGAAATTAAGAATTTAAATGTTTTTTTTGTTTTTTTTTGTACAAAGTTCTCTTAAAAAAATAAATAAAATGTTATGTTTGAATATGAGCCATTAAATAAAAATATAGTTCTAAGTTCAGAAGTAAATAGACGAAATTTGAGAAAAGCGAAAGTCCTCATTAAACAATAAGGATTCTATTGTTATTTCAATCAATTTACTTTCAGTTTAAAAAAAAAAAATCAATCGATTTTAATTTTTAATTACTCGATTTTGTTTTCTTAAATCAAACAAAATCTTTTCCTCAAAACAAACTTTCTTCTTTTTTAAATCTTGTCTTAATTTTAAAAGATAGATAACATTTTTTAACGAAACACAGAGATACTTTTAACAGAAAATTAATGAAGATCATGAAAACCTTGAATGAAATGTTTTCATTAGTATTTTATTTTAGTTTTGTTTGTTTATTCAAGGAATAATACTCTTTCTTTTTTTTTTCAATACGGCGGGATTTTAAAAAAAATTTCCAATCCGGTCATGTTGGGTTAGTAGACTTACGAAAGGTGTTGTATTATTATAATTATTATTAAAAAAAAAAAAAAGATAAATAAATGTATTTTATGTACATACGGTTGGAATTGCAGGTAGATGGTAATATTAACCTCACAATTGGTAATAAAATTGTCGTGTTTTTATTCCTTGTTCAATCTCCTTACTTGTCTGCAGCCTTCCTACGAGAACAGAAACTGTTTGAAAACCTTTTTGCGTTTGATAGTATTATGCGTATGTACAACTCTCGATTAATAAATGCTCCCCTCAACATCCGCCGCATTGGTTTTCTTCTTTCTTTCTGTCTTTTTCTTTTTTTAAACTTAAAAAAATAACAAACTGCTCCCCGATAGTAGGCTTGTATTTTACTCCTGCTTATAAAATATATTCTATTTTTATTCTCTTCTCAATAAATAAGTAGGTAGTGATGCGTGTATACATATCTCTCTATATATATATACAAAGTTATTATTGATATTATAATTTGAATTACATGGAAAGAAATAACTCATTATTACACATTATTAGTAATAATTTTAATTTAAGATTTTCAGGTCATCTTTAAAAGTTTAAAAGATGACCTGAAAAAATGAAAGTAAAAACTAAAACTGGTTCGTTAGCAACTAAAAAGAACGAAAGAAAAAAGCAATGATAAATTCGATAAAAAAAACGAAAATGACACTCCATATTTTTTATAAGATCAAAGTATGGTACCTGTATATTTAACAAACATTTCATGTTTTAAATTTTCATGCTAAGTTTATTCTGTGACTAAAATTTAATTAGCAAAAATAAATGATGTCTACATGTGGTGTGATTTTTTTTTTTTAAATCTATTCACCCCAAGGCACTTATCAAAAATAATAATGCTAAAAATATCAAAAAATGAACAGTAGCTTTTGTTGAGTATTTCATTTGAGACAGATTTTTAGGTTTTTAATACAAAATATCACATTTTCAAAATAAATTTGATACTAATTTGTTACTTTGTATTGTTTGGCCACATTAAATTTGAATGTTTTAGTTTCATCATTTTGGATATTTCATTTCTACTTTTAATAAAAAAAGAAAAAGAAAATAGAATAATAGAAAAAAAATACTATTTTTTGTTGATACCAAGAATCATACTCATAAATAAACTTTTAATTCAGCTTTCTCTTTCAAAATGTTCAGTTAAAATTTGTAGCTTTCTATATTTTCCAAGCAAATAAACATAAAAAAGTTTAAAAACCTCATAAAATACTAATATAAATTTTTTTCTTTATATTAGCATGAACATTTCAACTAATGGCAGACAATTGTATTTGCTAACCAGTAAAGATTTTTTTAAAAACATACATTCATTTCTGATTAATTTATTTATTGAAATTAAATTTTATCTCTTGTTTAAAAAATTCATAGTCATAAAAGTTAACGTATGAAATCCTGTTGCTAAGAAAACTAAAAGAATAATGCTATTTGGAATAACAATGTAAAAAAAAAAAAAAGAAAAACTCAAGCTGTGATAGCCCCTTTATCTAAATTTTGTGAATTTCTAACTTCTGAATGATTGTTGACATAGAGGTGTGATGATATTTTCAACCCAATTACTTAAAGAGCAATCAGTTACTCTCAGATAACATCGGAATGTAAAGCTATCAACTCAGTGAGCTATTGAATCAGTGGGCTATTTAATAAATTTACATATAGACTCATGGATGTGCATGAAGCATAAGACTAAAAATGGTATGGAAAGTGAAATCAAAGTGAGTTCAAATTCAGGCTGAGCCTGTTGTATTCACTTTCACATTAAATGCCATTGGGTAAATCCATCTTTTCTCTTCATAGCTATGGGTTAAATAGTAGGGTAAACTTGGTTCTCTAGCATTGGATGGTAACAAGTGGAAGAGAAGGAAAAAAAAGAGTCAAAACCATTGAAAAGACAATGGGAAAGCATTGTACTGTTTTTCCCAGCAACTCTGTCTGTGGAGAGCTATGAAAGAACAAGGCATTTAAATATATATATATATATATATATATATATATATATATATATATATATATATATGAATAATTATTATAACCAATGTTCGTTGTCAAGTTTTTTTTTCTTCTCATATACTTGTATTTTGATTGGTAATTCCAGCTTATGTGACAGTGTTTCCCCTAGCGAGAGGTGTTTGGTTGATTTGAACCTTTTAAAATCCTTTATTCTATATTCAATACCGTCACTTGATAAGACACCAGAAGTGTTGCAACAAAATGGCTATTTTTGTAGTGATTTTATAACATATTTTATAATTTTCAAATAAATAATCACACACACACACACACACACATCTATATATATATATATATATATAAAAACAAAAAGAAAGCTATTCTTTATTAATGGATCTCATCCTCTGATGGATTTTACAAAATCAAATGTAAGGATTTCATTTTTAATGTGTTTATAAACAAGTAAAAACACTGTTAGGTTTACAAAATTTTTTAATTTAAGAACACTCAAAAATATTTTTAAGGCTAATAGTCAAAATCAAGATAAACTATTGGGCATTAAATTACATCACTTAGAATCTTCCATAGTTTACCTTAACTTTCACAGCATTCAATAATAAACATGATTGATTTATTTATTTTTTTTTTCTATAACTTATCACATTTTTCAGGTTATTTAAAGCCAAGGAATATATTTAGATTGTAAAAATTATTGGGGGATAATAATGATTTACTGAGACAAGCCCAACTAACCACCTGCACATCCATGTTTACCTTGCCTGGTATTCACAAGTAGTCACCCATCTAGGTACTGACCAAGCTCAACATTACTTAACTTAGGTGATCATACAAGAATCGGTGTTTCAATGTGATATAATCTAAAGTTGTGATGAACAAGAGTTACATGGCTTGTAACATACATCGCTGGTACTACTGTTGAAACATATCATCCACTAGCTATCAGTGCTCACATCCACTGTATGATCTCCATAAACATTTAGCATGTATCAACAAATGTCTATGATTTAATTTTTTCATATGGATGAATTTAATGATATGCCCTTAGCTTCACATGTACTTCCATGTAAGATACCATTTTATCAGTGTGTCTCACAGCTGCTATTTGTAACAAATTAAAATAAATTAGGCGTTATTAGCAGAAAGATTCAACCTTTACTGCCAGATTCACAACATCAGCATCTGATGGAACTAACCAATACAATAAAATAGGAGGTATTACCTTTGGATTGACCGTCATAATTTTGTCATTCATTTTCTTGTAATCGATTTTTTTCGATTATCGATTTTTTCGGAACCTGAGTCTGAACTCAAAAATCGGGCTCCGTCATATCCTTACGGCAGCCATTTGCAAGCTTATGGTGAAAATCGCATCATAATCGGGTGAGAAATGCGGCCTGGGGGAGGTAATAACGCCCACGACAGACACACAGACAGACAACATGAGAAATATAGATAGTAGATAGATAGATATATTTCCCATTATTTGTAATGACTTTTTGCCAATTGTCAGGCAGCTCTTTGAGACCTTTTGAGTAAAATTACACAGATTTTGATATGAAAATGTTTTTGACAAATTCTTGAATCTGGTTTTTATTAGAGAAAATCTTCCCCATGAAAGCATTTTACAGCAGTCAAAAAAAGTAATAATAATCGGTTGGTGAAAGCTCAGGTGAAGATGGTGGACAGAGTAGAACAGACCAACTGTTTTTCTTGTATTAATCTTGCTGTATATAGCTTTGCATTGCCATGAAAGAGAACAATATTTTTCTTTTAATCCACTGTGTACACTGTCACTGCCATGCAAAAAACAAGGAATCTTAGTGCATTCCAAAATGTTTCTTAACCACCACTAATGACTTGTAGTTAGAATGATATATTTCTCATTACAGGTAGTTCCTCAAAACAGACTTGTTAGTCAACCTAGATTACAATATATTTGCTTACATAGTGTTTGACATTGTGTGAGACTGAGCAAAAATATGATTTTATGTTTCAGTAGTGATTTCCTATTGCTCAGTGTTACCTTTAACCTTAAAAAACCTGTTTACTTAGATTTAAAATTAGATTTTTTTTCTTTCTTTGAAACAAAACAGGATAAGCAACCAACTTTAAGAAACAGACCTTGTCCAATAACTGATTTACCCTGCATAACATTTCATATGTTATGCGAAACTAGTTTTCATAAAGTAAGCATAAAATTAATGTCTCGTGTGTTAATTTTCATGCATCAACAGAAATGTGTCATATCAATTAGAGAGTCAAATGGGCTAACGGGGTGCTAGGAAAGAGGGAAGATTTCCAGTTTGCAGTCCCCCATTATAGGCATTAGTATAATGGTGATATACTAAAACCTTAATGCAACAGACAGAAGAACCAGAATATTTCAAATAAAGGAATAACAAACATCTCAAAGAGATTTTATATACTGCTCTATCATACAAAAATTATACAAATGTCACATTGAAACACTGGTTCCTGTAAAATCACCGAAGTTAAGCAATGTCAAGACTGCTCAGTACTTAGATGGGTGACCACCTGCGAATACCAGGTGCTGTAAGCATGGATGTGCAGGTGGTGTAATAGTTTTGAAATTCTTAATCAGAGAGCTGAGTTCCAATTCCCATTGGGTTTATTACTTATTTACTTATGTGGGAAAAGTATGAATCTACCTCTTCTCCCCAGCTATGGGTTAATTAGTAAAACTTGTATCACTAAACCATTATTATCTCAAAAAAAATTTCTTACAATCTAAAAATATTTTCTGGCTTTAAATATACTACAAAGGGTTGAAATGTCATAGGAAATGAATGAATCAATCAAGAAAGAGTGTTGGTTGTAATAATTCCCAAAGTGAAAACTACCAGGCTGGTGGTTTCCTCTATATTTTTGGTGGGATCATTTAAATTCCTCTGTTCATCCTACAGCTGTAGGCAAGTGAGGACATCTATAGTTCTAGCAGTCTAAATAGCAACTGAGGTTCATCACCCCACAAGCTGATGTCACTCCCCAACCGCCAAATGACTTTCATGAATTCATTTTATCCAAAGAGAAATAATTGCCCTTTGCATCCCTACAGGACAAAAATGTCACTATTAAGTTGGAGTATTTAATCAATTTGAGAAAGCAAATTAAGCACAGATTCTATGGAATAATAATAATAATAATAATAATAATAATAATAATAATAATAATAATGATAATATAATAATAAAGCACAGTGGAGTAATGAATAGCAGTTTGGATTGAGGAATCAGAGAGCTGAGTTCGAATTCCAATTGAATCCATTACATTCATTTATGTGTTAATACCCTTGGGAAAGGTGTGAATCCTCTTCTCCCTCCAGCTATGAGTAAATAGCAGGACAGACTGGGTTCTATAGTCTAGGAGAAGGACAACTCTGAATTCAAAACCTAGGGAGGGTTGTTTGGGGACCCTGTGGCACGTAGTGCACCAATTCTCTGTATTCAGCCCTTCAAAAAGTGTGGCTGGTCCAACACAAAACCTTCACCACTATAATCAAATCTCATGTGCTGGTGTTGGGCTGTCAGTGTCATGATCTGCTTGACCCTCATATGTCGAAAATTGACGGGAGAGTCGAGTATAATAATAAAACCAAAAACCTCTCTTCTGATAGATGTTACAGCCCCAGCTGATAAAAACACATCTTTGATATCAGTTGAGAAACTAAGTAAATACAAAGATTTTGGGATAGAAATAAGTAGAATCTGGCATCAAAAAAACAACAACATTGTCTGCTATTTGGGGTTTTGGGAATTATATCAAAAGGAGAAAATATTTATGTGGATCAATATATAAATTGCAGAAAATCTTTCTCATTGATAATTGTGTAGATTTCTTTCCATGCAGTGACCACAATGACATTTTTTCTTTCAGATTGCTTGCTACCTCATTTGTTTCCATCTTCTGAAAGCAAAACATTGTCTCTTAAAGTCTCTGGTTGGGACTTAAGGGCAACTCATACTACTCAAAACAAAGGTGACATACAATAATAATAATAATAATAAGATCAAAAATAACATTGATCATAAAAAAACATACTGAATATTAATAATTAGATGCATTTATAGTAATTGTTTTTGTTTATGTTAGGAGGAGAAGGCAAAGAATTAATTGTTATCTTTACTTAATTTTACTTTTAGTTAAATATTCAATAAGTATTTAACATGGACAAGAAAATGCAGAGCAATATAAATTACTTTTATTATAAGTGTTTTCATTTAGTTAAGGAGGGAAGGCAAAGAATCAGTTATCTTTACTTATTCTTACTTTTAGTTTAATATTCAGGAATATTGAATATGGACAAGAAAGTGCAGAGCAATATAAATTACTTTTATTATAATTGTTTTCATTTATGTAAGGGAGAGAAGGCAAAAAATCAATTGTTATCTTTACTTAATTTTACATTTCATTTAATATTTAGGAATATTGAACATAGGCAAAAATGCAGAATATAATTGTTAAAAGAGCATCTTGCTCAACAAACAGAGTGACAGCATTTTGCCAAACAACAGAAAAATGTTCCCTGAGGAGAAATTTCAAAAACCTTAAATACTGCCTAATGGTTAAATTCACTTTGGCAGGAAGGAAAATAAGCTACTGCCACTGCTTAAAACATTCATTAACCTACAGAGTAAGAGTCTAATTTGTTAGCTAAGGATGGTGAGTTTAATCCTAGGTATGAGTCAACATAATTATCAGCTCTTCCCCTTTTCACTTTTTCATGTAGACTATAGTGGCAGCTTATTTATCACATGTTTTAATGTACAATTTTTTTTTATTTTTAAGGAAGGGAGATTCTATGTTCACATGCATGATCCAGAATCATGTTAGAGAGGACACTTCTTTTAGTCATGCAATCTGCAACTTGGCTTGAGCCGGAAATCCATTCAAGTTTATTTGTTACCTTTTGCTCATTTCATGAATAATTGCAGTTTTGATTCTCAACCTTTTATCCAATATTTGAGTAGATGAATGAACAGACTCATATAGGCCAGCATTGTCATTTTTACATATTACTGGAAGATTTTCTGGTTTGTCTTCAATGCATAAAGGTTCCAGAAGATATTTTCTATAAAACATGCAGGCTTCCCTAATAACAACCATAGCAAGTGTGTCTGCTGCCTGCATACTTTTCGCAAATATTCTTGACTCTATGAGATTGCCAAGAAATAGGAACATAAATATCATTGCCTCTCACAAGAATGATAAATGTATCCTATTTGAGATCCTCTATCATTAAGTCCAGCAAATCCTGCATCACTATATGCTACCAGTTTCATTCTTGCAAGATTGCCTAAATTAGGTATTAAATCTGAGGAGATTTTCTTAGCTTTTCTAGCTGATTTATTTGCCAGTGATATACTCTCCATCTACCTATGTTTTAAAGATGATGTCAGATCACTTACCTCATAACATAAATCAGGCTGTGGCAAGCCAATTTAGCTTTCCTATTGAGCTTCTACATAATTTAACAATTTAACAGCTCATCATTTAACAAAACTGAGTTTGAATTGTCAGTTTTTGTAAATATCATAGGGATTGACTTGACAAAATCATTTTGACTGATTATTATAAACTCTTTTTGCTGACAAATCTTAAGACCAAGATATTTGAAACTTGAATTTTTCTCTGATCTAACTGCTGTGAGTTTGTGGTGAACAACCCCATAGAAGCAAACGAGGCAGAGTGGCTTGCATCTGGTGCATAGGAAAATAAGGGTCTTACCTTAACAGGTGGCATGTGACATCGGCAAGTTTGCCCCGTGAAAATGGCATTACTATCCTATCTAGCAGTTCCAGCTGTATGTGCGGTAACAAGGGTTTTTGTACAGTTTGGCATGCTTCCACCAATAGCAAGTCGTGTACTGATTGGTTGAACTGGAGGAGGCTATTTGCCTGGGTAATTGAGAATAAAAGTGAAAAATGCTGATTGGTTGGTCAACTGCAGTGTTGGCCTGATAAAAGAGGGCTGAAGTAGTGAAAATGGGAGAACAAAAAATGGATATACGTTGAGAAGTGTTCAGAAAGCAAGAACAGCAAATTGAACCAGCGGTATCTTGATTTGTATAAGTGACATCGTAGCAATACAGACTTATTTAAACTACAGAGTTAAAATCAACATGAGACTAGATGACCATTAGTATAGGTTTTAATGCCAAACAAAGTCTTTTCAGGAGTCTTTCGCCTAATGGGAAGGGGGAATAATTTGGTGTCTCTTTGTGATACAGTATAGTATCAGACAGGCATAGAAATAATCTAAGGGGAGGTGATAATTTAATTTACAACATTTTCTCCTTCAAGAAGTATTAAAAGAAATGGGGGAATTGTTATTCTTCTATTCAGTTATAAAGTCTTTGAATTTGTAGGGAATTATTCATTTTATAGTTGACTTTCACACAGATTTAGTGGGTTTTTCTTCTTCAGCATTGACTTTACTGGGAGTTTCAGTTTCTTTATGTTCAGGATGTAGAGTCCTACCTGTGAAGATATTGTACCGGGCTATATCTACAACCATTTTTGAAATATTGGGCATAGGGTAAGCATCAAGTTTTGTGAATCTATTTATGATGTTGCTGTAATCAATCATCATTCTTTTTTGGTGATTTTCATTTGATGTTACAAGTACTTGGGCTCGCCAAGGAGATGCTGAGAGCTCTATTATTTCTTTCAACATTCTAGTAGTTTCTTCCTTTATGAATTTACTATCAGCGATAGTATGACGATGTGACTTAGTGATGATTAGAGTTGTATTAATGGAGAGATTGAAAAAGAGTAGGGGAGGTGGAATATCTATGGAAGGGAGGTGGTTTGTGACCGCTCCAATAACAAGTTCATCCCTGGGTCCATCAAATCTCAAGGTCATTTTGTTATATTTTTTCAGTATGTCCTTTCCTATGATGGTTTTAATCACTAGATTTTTAATCACTTCCACTATCACACCAGAATGTGTCTTGTTGTTTAGAGTGATATTGGGATGCATGTTCTTAGCACATATATCTATTGTACATTTAACGATTCAAAAAAACAATGAAACTCTACATGTGGATCAACAAATAAATATATATTGAGATATAACATACAAAACAATCATGCAATGAAATGTAATGATTAAGGAGAAAAAAGTTGTTCCCCTTCAACTGTATTCGGATTTATGATTGAATATTCGAAAGAGTTTCTCTTGAATAAGAATGTTCAGGTTTCTATGTTGAATAGAGTTTGCTGTTAGACTAGAATACACTTAATTAAGAAATGTGTTGTTTAGAGAAATTATTAGAGTTCTGGTTCATGAACTTGGCTAAGTCACAAAGAGAGATATGTATAATGTGTTACAAAAATCTGTGTATGTGTGTGTGTTTGAAATGTTGTGAATAAAGTCATAGATTTGTGTGGACAGGCGAAATAGCTGGACTCTACTGGCGGCTTGTGGCAAAATTGCTTCTTTTAAAGGTACCGGTAGGCTCCAAGCGAAAACATGGGAAAAATTGATTTAGTATTAAAATGTTTGATTGGTTAAAATTTGACCAATTACTGATTTTGTA